GGTATAAAGATACTGTAGTAGGTGCTTATATAACCCTGTGAAACCCTGTGAGAGATTTAGCTGGTGTCAGAATTGCCACTTCCTGGATGGCAGAGCAAGGGCGCTCTGTGCTGAGCTTTGCAGTTCTAAAGTACATTTCTGGACACTGAGATGGGACAGAGGCAATTCTATGAACATTGAGGGGTTTTTGTCCCCGTTCTGGTGGAGCAATATGCAATTAGCATTAGAACCCATATGTTCTCAGCTATTACCCCATGCCCCTTAGATTAGTTATGTAGATCGGAAATTTCTGTAGGCTCTGCTGCTCTCCTCTGTTATTTGTTAATTACCATGTTGTATCATTCCTCCCTGCTCCCATATTAGCATATTTCAGGAGGGCCATCTGCCCACCCAAAATGCCTGTAGCCTCAGGAGGGCTGTAAGATATGTGACGTCTTCACAAAACAACCTTGTTTTTCACTGGCATTGCACAAAGATAGAAAAGCAGCTGGCTATTGCTGTGAGTTTCCAATCTGAGGGATGCTCAGGTGAAGGGGAGCTGCGAGTAACAAGCAGCAAAATCCAGGGCAGAGTAGGTGTTGCCCCTGGCAGGGAGCTGTCCTAGCCCCCCACCAGCACTCGGCCGGATCAGGAATAGCAGCTGCTCATATTTTAAGAGCCCAGTTTCCTAGCTGCCTGCATGGGAGTGCACAGATCTCACCACTGCCTAGTGAAACCATCTTCACGAGAGGAGCGAGGTGAGTGAGATTCACGGGGGCTGGAGTGCACAGTGTGATGTAGGAATGGTTCCTGCCTCCCCAGGAAAGGGACCTGGGGAGGAATAAGCCGGGGTTGGGTGCCGGTCCCGGCCCGATGGCGGGCGGGGCTGTCGGGTGTGAGCGGGTGCCCGGAGCCGGCGCTGCCACTGTGCCCGAACACACGGGCACTGCCCGGTCCGCAGCAGGGACCGAGGGCCATTACAGAGCGATTGCTCTGACGCCTTCGCCTCTGCTCACGCTGGCAGAGCAGGTGCTACCGCCCCCCAACAACAGCAGCCCCAGCTTAAAACAGTAAAAATTTATCTATTTTTATTCTATTCTCGCACTAGCAAAGGCGGTAACTTTGCACTCTACCTCTAAGATCATCCCCATCCCCATGGCAGAGCCGCGCAGCCACGCCCGCGTTCCCTGTTTCGGGATGTTTTCCTCCCAAAGCGAGCCCCGCGCTGCGGGACCGGGGTGTCCTGGCACGGCACTCACAGATCCTGTGCAGGCTCCGGCGCGACGGGGTTTTGAGCTGGCCGAAGGTCAGAGGGAACTGCAGCTACGGGGCCAGTCCCGCGCTGGCCCGAAGCCCCCAGGGGTGTGGCAGTGGTGACCGAGCCCCTGGCCCGTGCCCAGGCTCGTGTCCTCAGTGTCCGGAGCGGGGGTATGGGCTGGAACCTTGGCTAGGAAGCCCCCTGGGTTCTGTGCCCTCACCAAAGGGCTCCATAGTATGCTTTAAAATGCACCAACTGGAAGAACAGCCAGAAGTTGTGAGGATGGTCACAGCCCTGAAGTGGGTTGGTGGTGTCAAAAAGAAAGCTGGAAACCCGGGGTCAGGATCCGCCTTAGCTCGAGCAGTTCAAGCGCCCCCTTTCCATCCCTTGGAGATGTGACATGTGCAGGGAGGCAGCACGATCTTCTCCCTGCATCTCAGCCACCGTGCCAAGAGGGATCCAGGGTGATGTTGGGAGAGTAGGGGAAGCCCTGCAATGCAAGCCTATGTCTGATCCCATAGACTAAACTTTAGGACACGTGCCTCAGATCCAGCTATGGGATCCAAGAGTGCCATTTCCAAGAGTGGTTTCCTTGCTGGACATCAAACAGACATCACATATAACAAGGACGAGAACAATGCCGGAGTCTCATAGAGCGTGGGTCTCCTCAGTGGTGAAGTAATGTAGTTCCTGGATAAAATGGTTGGGTTTGGTTTTTGCATATCTTGCCATTTCGTCTGACAGGATTTTCATGAAGCATTAGAAATTCTACCAAAACTAAATGTTTGGTAGTCCACCATTTTGAAGGTGGACCTCATGGTAAAAGCAAGAGGTGCTAAAAGACTAAAAAGAGACATAGCTCTGAAAAGGATGGTGAGAGGTAACAAATGAATTCCTACAAACTTCATGTACAGGACTGAGTTCATCTAGTATTTTTTAATGAGTTTGTAAGAGAAGATATAACACTATAGGGAGACTCCCAGTCACATCTTTGTACAGAAGAGACCCCAGCTGTGTGAAAACAGAACTCATGACTCAGGGAAATGGACCTGGGTTCAAATGCTGCATCAGAGCTGAAATGAAACGTGGAAACCCACCTATGAAGGTTCGAACACCACTTTGCTCCATATTTGCAGTGAAAATGAAGGTGCCCAGAAGGTAGCCTTGTGTCTGACAAATCTGTTTCTGAAGCACTTGGCATGTTAAAAGGGTTTCAGACATATCTTTCAATGAAGGCTGTGAACCTAAATTTAGGAACTTTAGGGCTGACAGTACTTGTGCAAAAATGAAACTGATGTGAGAGTTTTTTGAAATCTTATGTAAAGGAAAGATGAAAACAAAGAAGATCTTAGTGAGTTTATGGTGCACTTCGATGTGATCACATTGTCCATGGAGAGGATTGCAGTTCAGCAGCAAAGATCCCTTGCTTAAATCTCAGATATCTGGGCTGGGATTCTGCAGCTACCTCAGGTGTGCCATGTGACAGTTGGCAATTTTGCACTTCTAGGTGTTATTTAGAAAGTAGCAGTAGACTAGAAATTAATGCTGAGTAGTTCTGATTTTTTTCTATGTCTATATGTAAATGCATGTCCTCAGCATGGGAGAGCCTTGAAATCTAAGTCACAATATAGCAAATGGTTGAGTTTCTACTTGACCAGAAGAGATGTAGGAGACCTTCTCTGACTTGTCTGGGTGAGCATAGCCCAGTACCATTGTGCTTCTGTGAAAGAAGAACAGGATCCTTTCAAGAGCAGCACAGGCTGTCCCCATTGCTGCGTAGCCACTACACGTAAGTAACTTACAAGTAAAACACATCTTGGGTAGCTGCAGTTTTAGAAGCTGAAGCAAAGAATCCATAAGCATATTTTGCAATGTTGTTCAGCAGTCCAAGATGCAGCAGCCATGCTGGTGAGGCACGAAGCACTTTGCAGCTGGACTTGCCAGAACACAAGTGGGCACAGGCAGCAATAACTTCCAACTGTTGATTTTATTGCTTGCTTCCTCTGTATTTTAAGGTTGGTGGCTCATAATGCCCACATAGTCTCCCCTCTGGGCAGAGGGCCTCATACTGAAAGTGCTAACAAAGTATGATTTGACTAGTTACTCTCATACACCAATTAATCCAGCACAGCACCTCAGGTCTAAAAGTACCACGAGTAAGGCACTTCTGAGGTGGTTTTAATTTAGGTTGTTCTGCATATCTATCACTAGAAATTCACAAGAGCCCAGAGACCAGCTAGACGAAGTGCCTGACAGCAAGGCAATGAGGAGCTTGGTTTGATCACAGAGCAATGGTGGAAGGACACTGCGATCTGCAAAAGCCCCAGCCTGGCTCCTCTTAGCACGGTATCATGCAGCTGCTGCTGGCAGCAGCATGAAGGAAGATTATCAGTGAGGTAACAGGGGTGACAGCATGTGATATTTGTTTGCTTGATGAATATACAAGACAACAGTATTAGTAGTCTTGGTGTCGAAGTGCCAAGTGTGCAGTGTCACTGCTATGGGTTTATTTCTCTGGGGTAAGCTGGAGTCTGGAAGAAGCAGAGACAGCTCTTCTGTTCCTAATGATGGCATCTTAATTATAGCAAGTGCTTGGTGTATTCAAGGTAGGACTGTGAAATTGTGGGATTTGTAGAGGGCTGTGTGCAAATGGAGAGTGTATGCTGTGTATGGTTGCGTATGTACAGTTTTGATGTGTAGATATGCTGGCAGTGGGTGTTCATACAGTAGTGCAAAGACAACAGGGAGTTTGAGAAGCTTAGAGCAACACAGAAGATAAAGCATGGGTACATATGGATGTCTAGCCCTGAGGAAAGGATTAGTTGTACACAGATTTGCAGATTTAGTGTATATAACGAGGGTGCAGTATGGTGTGAATCACTGTCCCATCAAAAAACCCGTGGATATGGCACTTACAGACATGGTTTAATGGTGAACTTGGTTGAACTTGGTGATTTTAAAGGTCATTTCCAACCTTAAAGGTTCTATGATAGAGTGAATAACTTTGGATGATGAAGAGAGTGGGATGTATACAGTGTGCTTGTGGGGGTAGATCTGTGTAGTGTGTTGGGTCAGTGTAGTATGCGTGTAAGAAGCACGTAGAAGAGCAGGTTTGCCTGCAAACTGGGGTGGTTCAGAGGTGAGGTTACAGAGTGCAGAGCAGTTTGAATGAAATGCTGTACGTGTCGAGGTGGTGAGGCACACTGAGCTGTGCAGGACTGCACACAGCTGTGCCCGGCAGGAGCAGGACGGCTGTGCTGAGCAGTGTGCTGCAGAGCTCTGAACGCTGTGTTGGGTTGTGCCATTGTGGAAGGTTGTTAAAAGTACAGCTTGGAGAGCTGTGTAAAGCCTGTTGGCGTGGAGCTGGTGCACAGTGGGAGGATAAGTGCACTGAGAGGGCTGAGTGCAGGGTGAGGGGCAGGGCTGGAGTGCACGATAGGGGCAGCTGTACCAGCACTGGGGGACAGTGCAGGGTTGGGGCAGCTATGCCGGGGCAGGGGCACAGTGCAGCACAGGCTGCCCGGGAGTGCCGGGGCGCGCTGCCGGGAGGGCTCTACAGGGATGGGGAGGGGTGCGGGGTGGGCTGAGCAGAGACGGGGAGGTGTACCAGGAGCGCTATACAGGGACGGAAAGGGGCGCTGGGGGTGCCGGGAGGGCTGTACAGGACGGGGAGGTGTGCCGGGCGCTGGGGAAGGGGCGGGCAGCCCGATCCGCGCCGTGCGGTGGCGGAGGAGGCGGCGGCGCTGGGCAGGGTCGGGGCTCAGGCAGGAGAGCGGCTCAGCAGCGCCGGTCGAGTCGGTGGGGCCCTGCAGAGCCGAGCCGAGCCCGGGGGACCATGCCGTCCTACACGGTCACGGTGGCCACGGGCAGCCAGTGGTTCGCGGGCACGGACGACTACGTGTACCTGACCCTGCAGGGCACGTCGGGCTGCAGCGAGAGGCACCTCCTGGACAAGCCCTTCTACAACGACTTCGAGCGCGGCGCGGTGAGTCCCGCCCGCCCCGCGGCTGCCCCGGGGGCTGCCCCGCGGACGAGACAACGCGTTTGTCCCCCCGAGGTGCCTCGGGCCGGACCCGAGCAGGGCTGGGCTTGTTTTAAGCTCTTATCCGCGTGTGCCGGTGCTCTGAAGTGGGACACCAGGACTGAGGTGCCTGCTACATTCCCGGCCATCCGTCATCCGCATCCCTGCCCCAGGTGTTAGCCCTGGCTGTGGTCATTCAGTCGTAGGGAAAGATGCGGCCCTTTGGTCCTTGCTTACGATGGGCTTTCAGATCTCCTCGTACTTTCTTTACAAATACTTACAAAAATGTGGGTGCTTCCTCTTGATAGGTGTTTAGAATCCATATTTACTAGTAATCAGAGGCCTGCTATCTCCAAGAAATTAAAGAGGTAAGAACTTCCAGTGTGAGTTACAATGCCTGCCAGGGGAAATGTGCAAGGCAACTTCAGTGAAAGTTGAAAACCAGCTTGAATGTGTAAATGTGAGAATGAAATTGTGACTGGGCTATCAGCTATGCTCTTCTTCCTAACCTAGATTTCTGATATGTGTTGTGCCCTGTCCTCTCTGTGGTTTTATCACAGTATTAGGACTACCCATGTGTAATCGCTTATGCTGTAAGCACTGGTTTAGAATGGCATTTATTTGCCTGTTGTCCACTGTGGAAATAATAGACTCAAGACTTTTTTCCCCCTCCCAAAACGTATATTTCATTTGGAAACGTAATTCACAGTTTCCAAAAGATCTAGTGACATTTAAGCAATTTTGAAAGTTTTAAAGAAGTATTCATAAGTCACTTTGGAAGTGAGACCTACTTCTGCATGTGCAAGTGAGTCTTAGCTGTCATGGTGCTGCTTTGCTTTAGGTATGTTTTTTTCAACCATGGAGTTCACAGCCTAACTTAAGTGCCTGGTCTCTTCTGTGTTAGACATTGCAGATATGGTTAACAGAAGTCAGCATTTTGAGTAGGTGTTGATGGCATGTATAGCTATGGTCCCTAGATATTTACCAACTGCTGCTATTGAAGTTAATTTTCTTTCATGATTAAACATTCATTAGTTTAGACCCTTGTTACCTGAATCTCCCAAATGGACATCCAGTCGTTCTTACTCTCTTATCTGGTGAATAGTCATATATACTTTAAGCAAAGCTGAACTACATGAGCAGGAGAGGTTGAAGGAGACCTCAGACTGTCCTGCAAACATAGGGTTAGTGTGCTCTCCCAGGAGGGCTGAGCCCTGCCTGGCTGAGGAGACAACCACAAGGGTTTCAGTTTGCTCTTATTCCTGGGCTACAAAAGAGGGTTTCACTGTCTTTGAGTCATGGCTGTGTTGGAGAGCCTGGTAGTACTCTGAACATCTGACTGGACTAGGAAATGACATGATGTGAGCATTCAGTATATGTCCATCAGCAGTTCTTGAGCTGCAGTGGGACCAGGTCCGGCAGGAGCAGAGGTACATCCTGCTGGGCGAGGGAGCAGTGAACAGGGGTTTGGGGGTCTTAGTAGCAGCAAATATGCAGTTGGTTTTTTCAGCACATATTTTTTTGTGGACAATGAGAATAACTCTGCGTTCCATAAAGTGTCTGGCTCATGGAACACTTGCAGTACGATGTGCTAAGTTTTGCGTTTGAAGATGTTTTCTTGGGGAGTGCAGTGTGTTTCTCCAGGCACCTGTTCAGGTTACACTGTGCCCAGAACACTGTGAGTTTACTAATATGTCGTGCAAGAAAAAAAGGAAAGAAAAGAAAAATACCAATACGGAACCAAAAAAACCACACAAAAACAAACAAACAAACAAACCCACCCCCCAAAAAAAACCCCAAAAAAACACAAAAAAAAAAGCCAGCAAAACCAAAAGCAACCAAAAAAAAAAAGAAAAACCTGAAGCAAGCCAGAAGACTTTGAGGTTTGTTGGTTTGCAAGATGTAGCCACTGTTTTCACAGTTCTGCCTTTAGAGCTTCTTTCAACATCTCTATAATTTTCTCTTCTGCCAAGACATTCAATTGTTAATACATTTGCAAAAACGAATGCACTTTTTAGCAGATGACCAGAATCGTGCCGTATTATTTTGTAAGGCTTTGTCTGCTTTCCAAGTGTTTTTCTAAATGTTGGGCCAGGCTCTGTAGTTCCATTGTCCCGGTAATGTCTTCATTTGAATTATTGCAAATTGTGTATATTACTAGATATGATGAGGGTGGGCTTGGGTCAGTTCTGAGTAGGAGATTTGCATGCCAGATGTTGATTGAGGGAAAAGTCTGTGGAAAAACCTGAAGGGATTTGCACAAGATTAGCTCAGTTGCAGTTTTTGTCTGACTTACTTCAAGTACTGGGCACAGTTGAAAGTCATGGCTGCTTTTCTTTACTCTGTGTCTTTTGAGTAAGTTTCTTTAGTGATGAGTAATTTCAAAGCAAGTGTTTTGGTGTTGCTCAGTTCTCTCCTTTCTTCCTGTTCCCCCTTCATCTGCTTTTTGCTTTTGTTGAAAGAGATACAAGTATTTCCAGAAGAGAAATACAGTTCCTTCCACTTAGAAGTTTTTGCTACTAGAAAGAGGGGATGTCTGTGCCGTCCTTTTTCTGATATAATGGTAGTCAGTAGGAATTTCTCCTCAAAAAGAGAACTTAAGGTGTTGTATGAGATTAAATTGCTTGAACAGGATGCTACAGGAGGTTAGACAGTCCAATAGTCTTCATAGTCTTAATTAATTCTGTTCTCTCACTCTGAATTCAAACTGTATAAAAACTCGTAGCATCTCTGGCTCACCGTGCAGTATCTTGGTGTTTTAACAAGAGACCTCGTACAACAAATGTCATAGAAACCTTGAGCAACCAATTGTCAGTTCTTACCTGGACTTTGTATCCTGTCTGTAACCTGACATACCTTTGCTGCATTAGCAAAATTGTCATCTCAGGTGAGCCTGTGGCATTGCTGGCTTGGAGGAGCAGAAGCTGTGTGAGATACCAGGAGGGAGCCCTCCCTTTCAGAAGTGCCATTAAAATTGGAATTGTGTTGGTCATAAAAAGACTAAAAACTTTTAGGAGCGTTTAGGTTAATTGCATGTCCTTTTTCCATTACATCAACAGTAATTATTTCAAGGCCCTTGTAATATTGGCAAGTAGATCGTTATCAGAGGAATGAGTTTCTTCTGAAGATTGGCTGTCAGTGGGACATTTCCATCAACTCTTTGGATTTGATTCCCATTGCTCTTTAATTTAAATCTTATGTGTACGTACATATAGGTATGACATTATAAGAAATCTAGAAATATATATCTGTAAATGTGGGTTTTAAAAAATGAAATCTTTAGCTGAACTTTTAAAGGAGATGAATTTAAAAAAATGAGAGGTATCTTGGGCAACAAGGAGTTAATGAGAAAGTAAGACTAACTTCAGACTTTCTGTGCCATGCTAATCACCTGGCAGCAATGGGTTTTTGTATGGATTTGAGCTAAAAATACTGCAGTATATTTTCCCTAATGGGACAGTGGTTTTGATCACCTCGTTCTTCCTCTGTACACGATTAGCCCTAGAATTGGGAATGAGTGAGAAGACAGAGCATAAAAATCTCAAGTAGCTGAATAAAAAGCAAATCTGATTCAGATGCAGTTTATCACTTGCTTCTGTATGTTATTGCATTAGTCTTTAGATGTTTGAATTCCCTTTATAACGATGAACACAAATGGGTAATAATTCACATATGTTTGTGGATTGTTTGGACTGTGTCTCTGCAAGGCTTCCAGCTTCTGACTGCCAAATGCAACAACAGCATGATAAAATGGAAGGAGAAAATCCATTTTTTGTTGTAATTGCAGAAAGAGGTGCGCAAGCAGGAAGTGACTGACGTTGAGATAACATGGTATGACAGCCTGTGACGAGGGACTCTTCTGCAAAGTGCCATCTGGTCCTGGAAAGACGTACAAAATTGCAAAAGTACTGACTAAGTGCGAAACCTGAGCCTGGTAAAGAGTTTACTGACAGTTTTTATTGAGAAAACCAGGAGTTGCAGGGAAATGAATATGGAATAGAAATGGTTCAAGTGCTGCCTATTTCTGGAAAGAAGATTGAAGAATGGGAATCAGTCTGAGCATGCTCTCTGTGTTTTTCAGCCATCATCCAGAATTGTTTGTGCCAGTTGAGAAGAGTGAAGCTGAGAATATTGGGTGTGGGGTGAAAGGCAAAGATGAGAGGTGTGGTGTTTCAAAGTGGCATTGTGGGAGGAAGGAATCTCCATTTACTTAGCCAGGAGTACAGGGGTATTTCCTGCAGTCACTGACAGTGATAGTTCTGTGTCAAGGCACAATTAATGTGATTTCTGAGAAAAACCACTCAACATTTTTCAATCTCCACCACTGATTCAGAATCATGAATCATCAAGGGAATTAATTTATCTTTATACATTATCTTTTTAGCTGTTCCAGGATGGGATGGCAAGGTTGAAGAGCCTGCAGCATAAACTTTTTTAAAAAATGTTTAAAATTACTCTATTTATTTGCTTTACAGAAAGAACTATATCTTTTCTGCTATGGAGATGCAAGGAAAAGTGATAAGCATCATTATAATGTGTTGCTTGAGATCTCTACTCTGTGATTTTCATCTCTCAGCTCACAACCTAGCAGACAGATGCTGTCATCTCAAGCTTGCCCAGGACTGCTGTACTGTTTGTGAGGCAGTTTGTTACCACCTGGTGTGTCTGGGTGTGCTATTGACATAAACATTGCAAAATTTTATTTAAGACATGATGGGCTTTCTTTTTAAAAGAAACAGTTCAATGTCTTTTGCTTTAATATGATGGGGAGAATATGGCTCAGACCACAAGAGTATGAAGTCTCTAATTGTAACCACATGAAGCTTAGCAGGGTCACTTGAGCAGGGTAGTCTTTGACTGCTGCTCCCATGGTTACCATACCCAATTCAGCTTTGTCAAGATGAGCACTTGGCTGCTCCCATATGTCCTGAGCTGTTCAGACTTCTGGAGAGTGAGAATAGATTCCCGTTCCCCTGAATTGCCTAGCACCACATGGTGTCTTACCAGTCATATTTGAAACAATTACTTATTTATTCCTGTGCTGGTAATGCCCAATAGTTCAGATGACACCAGAACTATCATTTGTAAGAGATGTGTTCCTGTGTAACCTGCTCTAGGTGACCCTGCCTTGGCAGGGAGGTTGGACTAGATGATCTCTGGAGATCTCTTCCAACCCTAACAATTCTGTGATCTCTGTATTCACTGTCCTAAATATGTCAGGCAATTTAGCAAGGCCCTTAGGTCAGCATTCATAACAGCTGTTGTGCTGGCTGGGAGTGCTCAGTGTGGGGAAGAAGTGCAGCATCATATCCTGACCATGTAGCTGCCACTTCTTCTGTAGCCCTGCTGGAGCCATCATCAAGCAAGGGAGAGTGTGGTATGCACTCACTTCCTCGGCCTGAAGAGGTTCAGAGCTGCAGCCCCCAAACCTCAGCAAAGCTTAGTGTAGAGGCAGCACTGGGACTGGTCTGCTTCTCTCCTGGATCACTGAAAGACAACTAACTCAAGATTTCACGGGCCTGTCCCTGATCAGGAGCAGGCATGGGAGGAGTCCTTTGAAGGAGCAGGTGTGGGTGGTCCCCATAGTTTTCAGTACCAGCTCAGTACCAGCAAAGACTGCGACCAGACCCTTAGCATGGAAAAGGGCTAAACAGACTAGCTGCTGTGCAGCTCTGGGCTGAGGTCCCGCTGTGTTGCAGGAGTCAGGCCTCTCCAGAAGGAGCTAAACCACACTTCCACACGCTGGCTTGTTTTATGTGAAAGAATGAAGTGCATCCAGAGATAGATGGGGTTCTTATTTTCAGTTGGCTACTTAAATTCCTTTGTACTTCTGAGCCATACAAACATAAAATGTATCATTGTCCAAATCTTAGCTGTACAAAACCAAAATGTACCGTTGTCCTCATTTTAAATATGGAGAACTGAAAAAGGATAGGAAGGAAAAGACAAAGGGGATCTAGGTGATCTGAATTTTGTTCTTAGTCTGAAGCACATATAACTAACATACAAAAGTCTTTAGATTCCTTGTCCAATGTTTTAATCTCATCATCATTTTTCCACTCCAATTGCATGAGTAGATGTGCCCTAGCAGTACCTCTTTCAGCTGTTGCCAAGAGAGAACAGTGGATGGTTTCATGGCCTGCATATTTTTCCCAGACTTGCAAACATTTCAAGGAGTAATACCATTTTTAGGTTGCATACAAACATGTTTCTTCATTTCTGGAGTGTTTTGCATGTTCTTGTTTGTTCTTTTATTAATCTTTCTGTTGCATTGCAGTCCAATAATAGTGTCGCAGCGTATGACTCGGAGACAGCAAACTCGGTGCTGAATCAGTTTATTAATGCACAGAGTACAGATTATATACCACATGTGTGTTTTAATCATTATCAAAAGATAGATTTATAGTTTTGTTTTTTACATAGTCTAAATACTTAAAGTCTAACTGGTATACCTAAAGTCCAACTGGTGATCCTTATTTCTTGTTTGTGTCCACTCTTCCACATCATTCCTATTCTTGAGTACGTACAGCTTCCAGCTGCCAAATCATAGGATGGTCAAGACATCTTGCGATCGGTAGTTTCGGCTATGTTTGATTATGTATGAGCTGAGCAGTAACCACATAGTAGGTCTTCCTTTTTTCACCCACCAGAACCTGGAAGGACCAGGTGTGCCTGTGTAATGCTGGTGATGCTTCCTGCATGTGCAGTATATCACTGACTGTATTCTGCTCTGCAGGTTGACTCCTATGATGTGACTGTGGAAGAAGACCTTGGAGAAATTCAGCTAATAAAAATTGAGAAACGAAAATACTGGTACCAGGATGACTGGTACCTTAAGTATGTCACTGTTAAAACACCAGTGGGTGACTACTTGGAGTTCCCATGTTACCGTTGGATTACAGATGAAAAGGAGGTTGTCCTTCGAGATGGAAGAGGTGAGAACTATAAGAAACCAGATTTCCTGCAGAACATCTGGAATTCTTCTCTTTCTCCTTCCCTTTTTCCACGTACCTCCCAATAGTCTCTCTCATATGGAGACCCACTTCCAGTCCCCTGCTGCATCCTAGAGAATGGACTTTCCCTACTGACTAGGAATACTTCCCGAGCAGCTTGTTGGTGTAGGCACTGGCAGTTGAGTTGGATATACATACAAGGAAGAGTCCTTACGCTAGCTTGTTACACTGGTCTTGAATTTGAGGGCTGACCCTAATGCCAAATTTTTGTCTGCTCCACATCCCCATTGCTGAAGCCCTTTTGATCTAATTAGAATTAGTGTTCTGTGGTTGTTTCATACTAATCTCCCAAGAGGCCCATGATTAATTGCCTGTGAATTGTCTTGTTTACATAAGAGTGAAATAAAATCCCAAAGTAGACTGGTCGGCAGATACAAGGACTGACTTGAAACAGGAGCTTACTTTTCACTCTTTCTTCTTTGCATACTGTCAAGTCCAGGACAAGGCAGAGTGATGGATATGACTGCTGCAAGTACTGGTGACCAACTGAGGAAAGCATTTTAACTGTCTCTGACTACCTACTTGCTGTGGTCAGGGTTGGGGCAGATATTTACGTTTGCTTGTTCCCCTCTGTGCTACCTGGGGTAGGTTGGCTGCTGTCATGGTCTGCAGGATGAGTGCTTGAAAACAGCTGAAACAAGTTATGAGGTGGTAGGAAATAAATGTTTATCTTGCCCTTTAATTTTTGGCTACTTCTGGCTGAGGAATTTTGTATTTGAAGCCTTTTGTCCTACAATTACAACTATGTGTCTGTTTATTTTTGGTCTCCAGAGGGACTTCCCATTTTTCATAATTTGGTTTATAACAACTGTAACACTTCCATGGAAGACAGCTTTGCTTGGCTTTCAGAGTTTGGTGAGGTTAAGGACAAGAGCAAGTGAAACCCTCTTGGTAACTTAAACACTATCAGCTGGAAACCATTAGCCATATATGTTATCAGCTGTGTTATCTCTGATATTTCCAGCCTCAAACCGCTATAGTCATGAAACTCCTGCTGGTTTTATCTGCCCTCCCATTTGTGTATGTAAAGTGAGTCTCATAGCTTGCCCTTTCTCTGATCACTAAGGAAGTCTCTGTGTTATTTAGTAGTATGTTGAATTCATGGTCAGAAGAGCAAAATATCTGGAAATAAAGGCTCTTTGTTTTTTCTTTCTGTTCTCATGACAGGAAGATACGATTATTGCCCCAAGCTGATGGGGAGAGCACAGCTGTCTCTCAGGAGGGAGGTTCAGTGATGTTTCCTGGAGATGTCTTTTAGCAGAGAAGATGAGAGCTGGAACAATATTGTGGTTTCTCTTATTGATAAAAATTCCCTTAGATACTGAACTGTAAAATTAATTCCTATGACCCCCTTCAGACTATTTAGCACTGGATACATACAGCAAGTGTCTACACTAGGAATCCAGGTTTTATGTACAGTTGAGACAGATGTTCCTAGCTTGAGCTAATTGCCCCTTGGAGGCACCAATTTAGGAGCTTATCTCCTTCCACAGGTTCTCTTAAGGACCTGTGTCTCTACTCAAAGTACTAAATTGGATCATGAAAGCATTTCCCACAGAAACTTTGTAAAGGTGTAGATCAAAAGTTTGAAGGTTAGAAAACTCTGCTGTCCTTCTCAACACCTGGGCAGTGATGGTGGGGGAACCTCATAACCCTATCTGTTTTCCCTGTTTCACAGCAAAGCTACCCCGAGATGACAAGACTCAGATTCTGAAGCAGCACAGACGCAAAGAGCTTGAGTCCCGTCAGAAAATGTACCGGTGAGTTTCCTGCTGCTCCCCAGAAGGTCCAGGGTCTGTTCTCATCAGCTCAGAGTTTGACAGAGTATGTTCAGATTATCAGATGGCTCTAATTACTCAACTCCTGGATAAGAGAAAGCATAAGTTACCATGTTGGCCATATCTGGTTTTTACTTAGGTGGAATTCACTCCAAGTGATGATCATCCTAGCGCAAGGGACATTACAGGATACTTCAATCTCAGATAAGGCTGTCTGAAAGGCTTAAGTGGAAATTCAGTGATACAGCCTAATTGTGGGCCCTCTGGCACACAGTTGTGCTTTCAAGGAAGATTTGGAAGCATATTTCATTTGCCTGTTACAAGCAGTACTACAGTTTTGGAACATGATGTGAACATGTCAGCTCTGACTGGAGCTTTTTGGCTGCTTGCAGCAAGCTACTTTTAGTTGTTTCCTGCACTGGAGTGCAGTGGAAAATCTGTCCCTGTTTGAGTGGACTGGAATGTGCTAACAGAACACAGTTGTGATACCCACCCTAATACTGTAATAGGTATTTTTTCCTAATCAGTGTCACAATGAGAAAATGCTGTCTTTTATAAACTAGTAACTCCAGAAGGCATTAGACATTTCCTTGTGCAAGAAATGTACTCTGTTAAAGCAACAAAAGTTTCTTGCACTTGCATCTCCTTATCATGAGAATAAGGATCAGGGTAGAGGGTCCATTCAGAATTGATGGATTGAGGCTTGGTCCATGTGTTGTTGATATAATTTGAATAAGAAAGGCCCTTACTTACAAATTGCAGGAAATAGAACAGAGAAAAATATGTTTCGAAAAGAGGCGTGACACAAAATTTTATTTATGTATGCAAGAAGGAAGGCAAAATCATTTGTAATTTCAGGGAAATAGCTATTTACAATTCAGATGCATAACTGATAACGCACAATGCAGTCTGTGTGTGGCAGGCAGTTTGGAAATACCACTGAAACACTATTCTTTACAGTTCAATTTCTGTTGTTCTGAAATAAAAATGGAGCAGAGAATGTGTGCCATGACCATTAGGAGGTTGAGGAATTGAATCAAGAATATCTGAGTCTCCTGGAAAGTGCCTTTTGAAGGAATCTAAATACTTGTCTGAGTATTTTAGCTGCTGGATCTCAGTTCTGCAAAAATGCAGCCCCAAGAATGAGTGTGCATTGGGCACCTGTCTGTCTCTCTGTCCCCTCCCCTCCCAACACATTTGAAGCTAATGCCAGTTTCAATCAAAGGTGACAAGTGTTTAGAAATACCACAGATATAAGTTACTTCAAGCTTTGTGAAGGTAGATGGCCAAGCAGTTGCCTTCCACAGTGCTTGAGGATTCTGTAGGGTACTGGTAGGTATTGATGTGATGTAAGTCACTATTTTTGGCCTGAGTCTGCCACAAATTTCCTTTATAGGGGCGAGTCACAGAAGCACAGTAGGTAAAGGAAAGACACAGCTCTCATGCTGGTAAGCTTATATGGTTAATCAAACCTCTTCTATTTTCTCAGCTGGAAGGAGTGGCATCCTGGCTTTCCCCTGAGCATCGATGCCCATTCTCACAGTGAACTGCCTCGTGACATCCAGTTTGACAATGAAAAGGGAATTGACTTCATTCTAAACTACACTAAAGCGTAAGTGTTTGTGGGACTTCAGGAGTTTTTCAGAATCTCTTTTGGGGCAGGATAAGGATCTGATCACGTTTTAGGTTTCATTGAATCTCAAAACTGGATTCCTTTCTCCCAGCTGGATCATTGGTCAATCAAAGTAGGAAAGAATTGAATGGATTTTTTATTTTATTTTATTTTATTTTATTTTATTTTATTTTATTTTATTTTATTTTATTTTATTTTATTTTTTAATTATCAATATTTAAGCTTTTTACAGTGGGCCCCTGGATTCTTGTTAGACATGGTTTTGACTGTAGGTGGATGGAGGAAGCATTGGTGAAAAGCAGAAGGACTATATGCCCCTCAGACCTTGGGCTTTTGACTTAGTTCTCAGCTTTTCCCCCTGGAGATACTTCTCTCTCATCTGACTGTTGGTGATAATTAAACCTTTCAGTCACATACCCAAAGAAGATGGTATCAATGCACCCTTGACATCCTGCTGAGCAGTTTGTCAGTTCATCTGAGTGTTTTCTGCTTGGGACAACAAAGTCTCTGTCCACCAGCTTGCACATGTCATGTAATTGAGAAAAACACTGGATGGCCATTGGTTGAGCCTGAGTAATCAATCCTGCAGAGCTCTGGGATAGTACAGGGTCAATGAGGCAAATAGGACCTCTCTGACCTGTAAGTTTCCTTCTGTGCTGTCTCAAATGCCCAGGTCACGTCATAGTGTCTCAGATATTAGATGGTGGGATAGTCTGACATGAGACAAGACTGGTCTTTAAATGTCAGAGCGTTCTGAGTGTTACATTTATGCAGTTGAATTACACTACCAACAGAGTCAAATCCCATGGCTTGTTCCAAGAAAACCTACATGCTTGTTTTCTAATTTGGAATATTGGAAGCTTTAAAGAACAAATTGTTTTTTCTGTCTGTTTTAGCTCTGCTGTAGATTTCTTCCTCCCTCCCCTCTTCACCACACTAGGATCTGTTTTTCACAATAGAATGATGCTTTTTAACCTCAACAAATTTTTTTTTTTAGCAGAATGAATGTCCAGCAGGTGTGAACAGAGTGATGGGTGTGTTTCTGCAGCACATATGGCTAGGTGAACCTAGATCTTTCAGAGCTAATTGGAATAAGGCAGATGAATAGCTTTGAAGAGTTGGGGTCTCTAGCTTTCTGTCTCATGCCAACTAGGATGTTAGGAAAATGACAGAACAGGTCAGAGAGTGTGTGCTTTTGTACCTTTTTAATGCAATACTGGCTGTTAACACCAGAGAATTGGCTGTGGGGTCACACAAGGGTTAATGGTACAAAAGATGGACAGATGCTTCCTGCTCTCTGAGCTTGCCCAGTGGCACGTGTATTGCCTCAATGTTATATCTATGTTTAGACTTCCAAAGAACAAAATCTCTCACTTTAATATGGGTCAGAAGTTGAGGTCCCTTCTCACCTCATGAAATATCTTATTCCTCAAGCAGCCCTATAATATTCACTGGATTCTTTAGCGTTTAGAAGTTTTAAGGAAACTGGGCCTTGAGTGTAGATCCTTGGGAAACCCTAGACTCTGATGTTCTTCTTCTACAACCTTGCAGGAGCCTTTTAGTCAGCAGATAATGAACTTGGTAATCAGAAATAGTTCTTTAGGAAAATAAATTTTAAACAAATAAAATCAACCAACAAAACTGTGGAAATTTACACAGTGTTTTTTAAAAGGCAAGTTAATTTTTCTGTAAGGTCAAAAGAGAAAATTTTTGATTTGTAGTCAGGACTTTAGTACAATGCAGACCAGATTATCACACCCAGTCTCTAATTCCTAGTTTTTCTTCCCTCTCTGTACAAAATGATAATTTCACTTCCTTTACCTCCCAGAAAATGCTGGGAGAAGACCCCATGCATATTTGTGAAGTGCTCTGAGATTCAGTCAGGCAGAACAACAGTACAGCCTGTTCATCATGAAACAGACACAGGGGTGAGACCATCCGGAAGAAGGGAAAATTCCTTCATAGTTATTGTGTTGTGTTTCTGTAAATAAACCAAGAAGAGTTTCTAAGCAAGAGGTGAAAGGTGTGAAAATATGCAAAACCCCATGCAAGATCATTGAGATCTTCTTTTGTTGCCCTGGCAATGGCATGTTATTTCAGACTTCTCCAGGTCCTGCGTTTTCCAAGAACAGTTGATTCCAGCATGGTGTTAGCCAGTGCACCACACCTGTTTCCCAGCTCATAAAGAAGATCTGAGTAATCCAGGAGCAACAGCATCTGAATGCCAGAGCTGAGAGGTTTGCCATTAGGACACATAACCAATTTGGAGCCTACATTCCCCTTCCAGCAATTCTATCCTGCCAGGCTGTGGCATGTTGACAGAGATCCTGAGTTGAAGCCAAGTGAAACTTGGAAGCAATTCAGCAGAGTGCAGGGACATCTATCTTTGTCATTGGCTGTAAGGGGTCCTCCCCATGAAGGAGGAACCTGAAACTGTACTGCAGATAGCCAGCCATTCTGGATAACTGGTATGACACAAAAGAGATTTTTCCAAGGAATAGCAATGCTTTTTGCCTGGCACATTTGCTGAAGAATCTAGACCTATGATTTTGGTTGAGTGATCTGTGAAAATCTTCAAAGAATGAGTTTGACAGCCCTTATCTAGCTACCCTGATATACACTGGGAGTTTGGGGCAACTATCTGCAGGAATGGGTTGGAGATACATGGGGGAAGGCATGGGTCCTGCCTTCAGCTTGAGTGCAGTAGGAGGGAAGACAGGGAGGTGTGTTTGGAAATCCAAAGGAAGGTGTAGAGTTGCAAGGTGTAGCAGTGGGCAAGTAGCACATTTTAGGAAAAATGTGACAGCTATGAAAGTTATATGAGGCAGAGAGAGTGGTGGAAGAGGGGAGGGGAATGCCCTTTTACTTGGACTGCAAAAATGATCTTAGAAGGGGGGAGATATGTCTCAGATATTCTTTATGCTGTTGCAAGGTTGGATCTTTAGGTGCTATTGGCAGTGGATAACTCTGTAAGTTTACAGTATTAATTGCGTGTAGGTGGAGATAATTCTGAAGGTGTCCAGTGCTGACATGACCTATAATATCTAGCAAATGGAAACTCTCAGCCTGGATTCTGTGCCAGAAATACAGGCGTGTGTTGCTATTTTGGACCAGTGTTGCATTTGGGCAGATTAAGTTCTGCAAGAAACTCTGCCATTTTTAACTGGCTCTGTTTTCTAATATGTGCCAGTATGATATCCAAGAAATACTTGATTTCTTGGGGAAAGCAAGTTTTATTTTCTAAGTCCTTCAGAAGTTTGTTCCAAGATAGGAAATGTGAAAAACTTCCTCCTTTTGGAAGAAATCTTTGAAACATCTGAGAATGAATGTGTGCCTAGCATTCAGCAGGTCAAACCACAGCAGGTTTGTGACTAGATCCCAGGTGCTGTACCTACTGCTTGGTTTCATCAGTAGTCCCAGGTAAGACGAACAGGAGAGGAGCAGTACACATGAGCTCGTGTGTCAAGTGTTTTCTAATCCTAGAGCAGTTCTGAAGGAGGGCAGAGGCTCTGCAGGACCTTTAGTGGAAACTCTAAAATAACACAGTCTCCAGTAACTCTTCTCAAGCTACCAAGATATGTTTTTTAAAATAATTTAAAATTCTGGTGATGCTCATACTTCCTCTGGAAGGTCATCTGTGATTCAGATACCTGGTCCCTATCCAGAAAGTCCTGCCCAGTAGTTACAAGAGACCTCTGGAGAGATCATGTCCTGTTCTAGGCTAGACAGGCTAGCATGCCTCCAGACACCTCTTAACCTTGACTGCCATCTGCAGCAGCAGAAACAGCCCATTCTACATGTACCCCATCTGGGCTTAGTGTAGAAGCAGCTCCTTTGTGGGGATTCTGGTCATGCTGGTCTAGAGCCCTCCTCCAGATTACCACTTGCTGTTTCTCCAGACTTTTGGTCCTCTTGAGCCAGTTCTAATCCAAGCCTTTTTATAAGTTTACTGATGATAAATCCACCCTTCTGGGATTCTTCCTCCCTCAAATTCTGTTTGGGAGAATTTCCTGCAACACTGTGACCTTTCTTTACTCTGTCATCTGCCCTGTGTATCTTTGTGCACTGTGTGCGCATTTGAAGTGTTAGTGGGAAACCAGCTTTCTTTTTCAAATTCATTATCTGCTTTTTGGTCAAAGTAAAGGATTTCTATTTAATAACAACAGTTTAGCATTTATGTAATAATTTAGGACTTGTCATCTCATACAAAGGAGACTTGCTTGACTGTGCTATAGACAGAATATTTTGCTGAATTTGCACTTTAAATGAGATATATCTGGATCCCAGCCCGCTGTGTTCATGTGATGTCTGCAACCAAGTGACTTGGTTTCTGAGGTTTAAGGGCCAAGTTTAACCAGCAGCTCAAGTAAATAGAAAGCTCTCAAAAGCTCAGGTCTCACAGTGTACGGATCCAGTCTGACCTTGATCACATAGAGACTTACAGTAGCTGTTTAGGAATAGTGGCTGACTGATCCTGGGCTGTGTTTGTTCTGAATTCACTTGTTCTGCACATCACTCAGTCTCTTTGTGTTACCATATCCCTTTCTGAATTGGTGTTAATAATCATCTCAGCAGTCTCAGCTGATGCTAACTACTGACAACATGTGAAGCACTAGTTTTTCTGACTATAGTTTTTATATGACATAGATCCTAAAGCACTGCTGTTGTAGGCTGCCAAGAACAGCTCTAGAACGGAGATTTGCAAATGCAATAGCAGGAACTGGGCCCTTGATATGCCGTTCAGGCTTGTGTGTAAAGGTACAGCCTGCAAATTTAATTCTGTAGGGTGACCAATCCCATATTCCATCGCTAAAAATTTATTGTGTTTAGATATATAAAAGGGTGGAAAAGAATGGGGAAGGGTATTGAGGACACTGAAGATCATTTTTTTCAGATATGTTTTATTTTGGTGTATTTTTAGGATGGAGAATCTTTATATCAACCGGTTCATGCACATGTTCCAGTCCTCCTGGAGTGATTTTGCAGATTTTGAGAGGATCTTTGTCAGAATCAGCAACACAATCTCTGGTGGGTTTATTGGCATTTGCTCATGTTTGCATCATAGAATGATTAATTAGTTGTCTTGTCTTGTCATCTGATCGGGATGGAAGTGGCTGACCTGCTCTCTGCTCTCCAGGAAGTAAACTGTAATCTCAGACTACAGATCATACCATCAACCCCCAAGACTGAAAAACAAAGATATGATCTCACAAGGAACTAAAATTACTGGTAATCGCTCAGTGACGTTCTCTGTCCTGAGCTATACTGGAGGTCAGTCCAGTTGGGCATCATAGTCCCTTTTGGGTTTTAGAAATGTATTTTCAAGTATGTACAAGTCCCATAGGATATATTTTATTCAGTATTTTGCATCTAAACCTAGAGATAGCTTAGTGGGGGCGCTTTTCAGATCATATTAGCTGTTAAGGCATCTTTGAAAGTTTGATTGTGCATATCCCACTTCAGCCATCTAAATACATGGAAAATCTCCAAAAAGGCAAGTCTGGTACTGTTCTCTGCTAAGGGCAAGTGTGAAGGTGACCCCTCTTGCCTCTGACACAGACAAGATCAAAGACTGTTGCCTAATATCCCAGCCATGTGCACAGTTGCATTGCTGCTAAAAGTCCCGGCTTCTCAACCCTGTTCCAACACAGGGATGCTGCTACTGCCTTGGTTCTGCTGTCATAAGACCTGTAGCTCCCCTCAGTTGGTTCTTGTGGGCCACCTGTGTCAGTGACATGGGATAGCTCAAATGCTTTCCAGGGATGTATTTTTCCCCACAGGGGTTATTTTGACAGAACTCAGATATGAAAGCCCATGCTGTTAGGCCAGCGGATCTGGGGATGGTTTGCAAAATGCTGAGAATGACCTGGGAGCTGTAACTCATTCACCTGGTCCTGCTGAGCCAGGGTGAGTCATCAGACCACACTCTGAGGAACTGTGGTTCTTACTGGAAATTAGTGCGAGCTCGAGCTGAAAAAGCTTTGTGGCATTTATCCAAAATGTCTCTTGTCAAAAATACGTCAGAATTAGCTATGCATATTTCATTAAATATCCTGCTTGTGCTTGCCATTTCATACTCACATCTTCTTACTAGAAGACAAAAATCTCTGTCTCAGAGTGCGAGTTTCACTTTTGGTTTCAGGGCTGTTCAGTTTTTTCAGGGTCTTTCCTACTGTTAAAAATTCCATTGATGTAGTATTAACATATAAAAGACAAACTACTGCTTTTCTTTAGCCCTTTTCAAAATGAAAATCTTGGCAGTTACTTGAAAACCCAGTCAAAAGAATTGCAGACGGTCACAGGTTTTGAAGTTCATGGTGACATTTCTGCAGAGCAGGGCTGGGGAGCTTTGGATTTGTGAGCCAGGCCCAAACTTCTGCTCTCACCCATGGTTACTTTATTAGATTGTGTTATTGGATATAATAAATGCACAGCTTCTTTAAATTGGTTAGTGTGTGACCCCTCAAATGTGTGTGAATAGGCTGCTCATACTCTGCAGAGGAAAATCTTTTCCCTCCTGCTCTGAAGTTTTACCTTTCTTCAGGCTGCCTAAGGATCAGTTCACGCAAATAAAAGTAATTATGTGGTCAAGGGTATAAAACCAAGCACACGAGGTGGCAAAGCTATTAAAAACTAATTACAGCAATTTGTTACATTTAATAAGATTGCTTCCTGAAATACTTTTAACACAAGAATTAGATATGATCTGCAATTAATTTCATTGATAACATTTCCATGCCCATGAGGAAAGCTCCAATTCTGTGACATTTAAACATTGTGTCAGTCTCAGTTATGTTAATGCAATTCTGAATTTGCTTTTTTTGCAAACCTTGGCAGAAACAGGGATAATGGAGAAGGTGGTTCAAGGCATTTTACAGTCATGCAGTTTCTGTCTAAGGTGATGAATTATTTTTTGCTTGGTGTAAACTTCAGATACAGCTTCAGACTCGTTATGGAATTGACAGAGATTATGTAAATGTCACTTCATGTAAACTTAATGTTTTTATGATTTGTTAGAGAGCATTCTGGGTTTTGAGACTTTTTTGTTTTAATCACTGCATTCCTTTGGGCCTATATTTTTCATCTTTTTACCCTTTTTAGAAAAATAAATTGCTTTCAGAAAAAGTTCTGCCTTGTCTGAAAATAGACAGTAGTGGAAAACTTTACTAGCTTAGTTTTTCCCCTGAAGACACCAATGGGATTTTTCGCATAATCATGTTTTTTCTGACTCTGAACTTGTAAACTGAAGTGGTGACATGACATTATGGAACAGAACACTGCAACTATGGAAAACATCCATTAGTACTACATATGTAATAGTAAAGAGATGAAATACCCCAGACTAGAATTTTACTGATACGTTAATCTGGGTTTATATTGGCAATAGAAAAACAAATAGAGGGAAAAAAATTTAAACAAGCAAAATAATGAATGAGGAGTTTTACTAAGTGAAAGCCAAATCCAAACCCATCCCCAGGTGTCCCTCACCCAACTCCAGCTAAGAGAACTGCTCCAGCCACTGCTGTTCTTTCCCTACACACATTGTTGTGTATTTCCCTTCTCCTGCCTGTGCCATCTGTTTTTGGACTTATCCCTCTGTACTGCATGCCTTGTGAATTTGAAGAGTGAGATTTAAAAATATAATGGAAGACCTGAGAAGGTAATTTGCAGATGAAGAGAGTATTTTTCATAGAATTGAAATATTTTACTCCTCATTGGTTCTGTACATGGAGAAACAAATTATTATCAATTTATTTTTTCTTAAAGTGAGAAGCAAAGATTAAATTTTCCATTTAACTTAAGTGATTTTTCTTAAAATTCTGTGTCACCTTTTGAATCCTTTTCTGCTGCTTTCTGTAGTCAAAGTTGGAGTGCAGTGTAACAAAAAAGTGAGGGGGAAAGGAGGAATCCTACAATACAGTAGGATATTGATGCAGTGCAAATATTGATGCTCCAGGTTTGTTTTTCCTTCAGAATATGTGATGCAGCACTGGAAGGAAGATTTTATGTTTGGCTACCAGTTCCTGAATGGATGTAATCCTGTGCTGATACGGAGATGCACAGCGATACCCAAGAAGCTGCCTGTGACTATGGATATGGTAGAATGCAGTCTGGAGAGGAACCTGACGCTGGAAGAGGAAGTGAAGGTACAGCTCTGGATCAGGCTGGACTGCACTTGTTCCTTCTCGTATTCTCTAACCTCCAAACTCTGTTCTAACTGCTTCAGCCACATCTCTCTTCAGGCTTTCTGGTTGGTCATGGCAAAGCCGTTTGTCTCTGCAGACTCACAGCACTTCTGTTGACTGTTTTCTCCTGCTGTCCTGGAGCTGCAGGCCATGCCTTTCTGCAGGTCCAGTGGAAGAGCTGTAACCAGGAAGTGAAGGGTACTTTCTCAGTGGTTTCCTCTGAAAGGTTAGGGATTGACTGAATGTCTCAGGGGGGAAAAGTATCTCTTCCTTTTCTGGTAGTCACCTGCTGAGTTGAACTAACATGCTGAAGAAGGGTTAACAAGGGTGGTGCCTTGCTTTTGTTTGTATAATGAGCACAGGGTTCTCTTCAACTGGCAGCGTGAAAATTGTTTACATCTGAGTGTCACTGCATGAGTGCCAAACACATAGATGCTCTTTGCTGAAAGACTCACTGTCAGACTCTGCAGACACAAGTCAGTCTGTTTGTGAAATGGTACTTGGTGTCTCAATGGCATCACCCCTGAGCCACTATGAGCAAGGGCAGGCCAGTGGTAGCTTGTAACCACCAGGCAGAAGTCAGTCTGGCCAAGACTTCTCATTTCTTTGTTCCGAGCCTTGCTGCTTGCACGCCATTAAAACACATCATGCTGCTTTTTTTTGTTTGTTTTTTTCCACAGCAAGGAAACATTTTCATTGTGGACTATGAGCTCCTTGATGGTGTGGATGCCAATAAAACAGACCCATGCACAATACAGTACTTGGCTGCACCCATCTGTCTGCTGTATAAGAATCTGGAGAATAAAATTGTACCTATTGCAATCCAGGTGGGTTTACTGTCAGAGTCTCTAAGGGGACACATTGCTTGTTGTCTCATTTTAAACATGAAATACTTGGGATTTCATGTTCTTTATATCTTTCAGCTTGGTCAAAAGCCTGGGCCAGACAATCCCATATTCCTTCCTTCAGATGCCACATATGACTGGCTGCTAGCTAAAATTTGGGTCCGCTCATCTGATTTCCACATCCATCAGACAGTGACCCACCTCTTACGGACACACTTAGTCTCAGAGGTGTTCAGCATAGCTATGTTCCGGCAACTGCCTGCTGTACATCCCCTCTTCAAGGTTGGTTCTTGCATGAAGGGATGTATGTGGGCTAGGGTGGTTATCACATCAGTTTGAAAAACCAAAAGGAAGTTCTGGTGATAGTTCTGCTGAAATACTTTAACTGGCTGCCCTACAAGGCAAGGTACAGCTAAACTACCAGGACCTCCAGGACTTCAACCTTTACATCTGGTTGCTGTTGAATTCAATCTGAGAATTTGCCTTCTTTCGTTGTTTGTCCCATTTCACAGCTCTTGGTGCCACATATGCGGTTCACAATAGCCATCAATACCAAAGCCCGAGAACAGCTTATCTGTGAATGTGGCCTTTTTGACAAGGTAGGTAATCCTCTTTGTGAATCTTCATTGTTCATGTTTGTTCACGATTCTTTGTTGTTCTTTGTGGATATGTATGTACATATCCTTTGTTCATCACATATTGCCTTATTTCTTGACCTTGCTACTAAAGGGCAAACATAACTACTATCACCTGAGAAACGGGCACACAGAGCTGATGGCTTGTTGTCCTAAAGATATTATCTTTTACCTCTAAGTTGCCAAATCAGAACTGGCCAATGTCAGTCAATATCTCACTTATTGCTGATGTGACTTTGGGTTATAAGTATAGGAGTGCAAGATATCATATTGTGCACATAAATTTCTGTACGTGTACGCACACAGTTAAATGCCAAATTTCTTTTAAGTACTCTGTGAGAATAAAAATTGCAAATTGAAATCTTTATCACTGAAAGACACATAGGTAAGACGTTTTGAAGCCCACAAATAGTGGGTGAAGATTCCAGCCTGTCTTCTTGAACTGCCATAAACAGCAGATCTGCTAGGATTAAATATCAGCTTCATCTGAGCCAGTGAAACATGGCAGTATATTATACCTTTATCAACGATTTGAATGAGGGGTTGAGTGCATCCTCAGTAAGTTGACACCAAGTTTGGTGGAAGAAATAGAATGCTGGATCTAGGAACCACAATAAGTCAGCACGCAGCAGTCTCTGTAACAACATGCTAGGAATAAATGTTAAGTTTGAGGAGGTTTCAGAAGCCCTTTCAAAGAGGGAGCCTGTGTTTCAGGACAACTCTGTCTTCCTTACACCACTTGCACCAGGCCAAAAATAGCTTCCTTGCCTCAGAGTTTTTCACCCAAGCAAAATAGAGAGGTCAAATCCAGCCACCTTCCGTGTCATCTGTACTCTACTGCAGACTGTGGAGACCTCTCTTCCCTTTAAACAGAAGCATCATGTCCGCACTCCATGCATGTGGGAAAAGTGTGTGGCTAAAACCTGCCAGCAAGGGTCCTGGAGTTCCAGAGTTTCTTAGTTCCAATGTAGATGAACAACCAGCTGGAGGACAGTAAGTGTAAGGTGACTACTGCTACTTTTCACATCATATGCTAGAAAAGCAACATTTGGGAACTTCTGTGCGGTGATTATCTAAAGAGTTTTGAAGTGCTGTCTGTTGTAGACATGCTGTGTTTTCCAAATGTAAATATACTGAAACCCTGGGCAGTCCTCATCGGTAGTCACCCAGCAGGATTGATCTCCAGGCATAAATTCCAGGGTGGCTAAAGGTAGCCTGCATCCCTAAACATTTTCTCCTAAACTACTCTGTAGCAGCAGTGCATAGTTTAGCTAAAACCCTCATCTGACACACTCACGGCTTCGCTTCGATGGTGCTGTACTCCAGTATAAGCAGCTGCTGTACCTATGGTGAAAATGTGGTTAATAACAGTGATTCATGGGAGAGGTATGAAATCTCTGCAGTGAAAATGCACAGTTCCAGTAGAACTCTGCAGTTTGGTACTTTGTGTGGAGATGTGGTTTTGTCCTTGAAAAACAGATTCATCAGCACTCTGAATACTGTCTCCTGCAAATTTGGAAAGCCAGTCTTGGCACAAAGTGAACACTGTTCCCATCTTGCCATTCTTCCTGCAGGCAAATGCTACGGGTGGAGGAGGACATGTACAAATGGTACAGAAAGCAATGAAAGATCTGACTTACCGTTCTCTCTGCTTCCCTGAGGAGATCAAAGCTAAAGGGATGGACAGCAAAGAGGATATCCCCTACTACTACTACCGGGATGATGGCATTAAAGTCTGGGAGGCTATAAAGAGGTAAAAGACCATAGTTCAAGAAATGGCTCAAAAAGTCACTGGCACAGAGATGCAGATCTCTTTCTTTTTCTGCTCATTTTTTCTCTTCATCACATCTTGTGAACAATACATGGGCTGTTTAGTCTGGTGCCTTTTCCATCCAACATATCTAATTGGAGGAAAAAGATAAAGCCAAGCACACACTCTTGAAAGACTGTTAATTCCTGCTTTTTTCAGTTTTCTTGTATTCTGTATTTCAGAGGACCCTTTATAAGCACTCTTCTATAGGATTTCACAGAATTTACTGACTTGGAATTTAGCCTGCAAAGGGAATTTAATAACAATTTTTTTAGCTATGCACAAATGAAGAGAAGACCCAGCTTTCTGAGCCAGCCACATGAGTTCATCAAGGTTTTTGTGGAATGAAAATGTAAGATTGACTTCTGTGAAAATTGTCTTTTGAAACTCAATAAATTAGATATTAACTGACTAGACCAAAACCTTTCTTAAAAAATGCTTTAAAATTGCAAGGCCCAAGTTTAATCAGGGAGGGCAGCAATTCTGAGTCAGGAGAGGTACTGCAAGGCTGCTCAACCACACAAATGTGGTTCCTTTTCAGATCTGAAACACTGCCTCAGAATGGAATGATTCATAAGGGTTTTATTCTGCTGCAACGTTTAGTTTAACAAACAGTGTATTTTTGCGTAGGATAAGTTGCTTACTAAATACGAAGCTGTTCCTGGTTGCATGACTTTTGAAAAGCATGTTCATTAAAAATTAGATCTTTTATGTACAGAAAATAGAAGGTTTATGATGCAAGCATAATGTTCAAAGTTTTGGGTATATCTTTGTCTCCTATGTTTTCTCTGTGTTTTGACAAGGGGTTATCTTGCAAAATTTCCTGCAATTGTTAGTGCCCATTTGAGAGAAAAGGAAGTTATAACTTTGCTGTGGTTGTTTACTTTATGTAGTCCGGTTTTTTTGTCCTTCTCTTTCCTGTATTTTCTTTGCATATCAAGATATGACTTTCAAATACCAGGTAGTACTTAGTCAACTCAGTTTAGTTTGACTGTTTGTGGGTGTTAACCTCACTGGAGGATTATGTTACACTGCCTCAAACTTGGCTGAGAGATTCTTCATAGGTGAATAATTTGATTTATAAATGGTGTGGGCAGTACCCTTTAGAGTGTGTGAGATCCTGACCCATGGTCAGGATCCTGACATGGTTGTGCATGTGTCTGGTCACCATGAATCTCCCACACTACAGGGTTATCAGTCTTCACTTTTGATGAAATAATTTCTATGCCCAGCATTACTTCACATGTGGTGGATGGCGTAGACTTAAGAAAGCTGATAAGGTTGTCCCTATAGAAACAAGGAGCCTCACAAGGCAAATTTGTAAACCCCTTCTCTAATACTCAGCTTCCTCTTTCTGGTCTAACTGCAGATAGATGCATCAACCCAAGATACTTCAGCCCAAAAGGCTTCACCTACACTTCGTATACTAATCTATATTTTTATGGAACGGAGTCTAAAACACTGCCATTTTGTAAGAGAAGGATTACATTCCATATCACCTGGCATCTGTGCCAAATGCATGGAGACAGAGCTTATGCAAGGGCAGTTTTCACTCTGCATTTAGCAGAATTTTTATTTTCCTTTGGCTTCCTCTAAAAGCTAAAATTACTTAAACTCTTGGTGTTAATGCAGTTGTCTGCCTCAATGCCAACTCTTGACTTGGTTGGCTGATAGGAACCACGTTCACAGATTAATAAAAGTCTCCAAATTGCAATAAATTTATAAAATTTGTAGATTTTTATCTTATTAAGGGATAAATCTCTATTGGATAACAGTTTTTAATTGCATCAGTCAGTGTCTGCAGACAAATGTTTCACCCTATGGGTTGTTGTCAAAATATTTAGCAAGAGATTATAGGTACCTGCAGAGCTAACAGAATATCTCAGCACATAGCCCAGTTAATCAATCATTCAGTCATGAACTGCAAATCTTCAGGAAATCAGGCTTACCTATTCTTAATGCTTTCAGAACTCTTTCTGTTATCATAGTGTTTTAAGAGCCTTTCTTTCAGAGGTGAGTTAGCCTGGGGAGCTTTTGTAGAAAGAGGGACCTTGAAAAGAGGAACTGAACAGGGAGGTGATGTCTGCTGTAAACAAGTGGGTGTAGGAAATAGCTCTAGATCTCTTATCCCCACGAGAAATTTCCTGGGCCACCTCCACTTTGGAGTGTGCCAGTTGTGTTTCATGAAAAGGATGTCCAGTAGGAGGGGTGCAACTATTTGAATGGTATTCAGGAGCAGCCTTGGGCTGTCTCACATGAAGGGGATCGAACTGGTATCACAGTTTGGGAACCCCACTTCCCAGTGTGAGAACCATGTGGATATGCAAGAGGGAGTCTGTATTAAGTGAAGGATGTAGATGAGATGATAGAGGGCTGGGCAGGAGCAAAGGCTGATATAAGAGAATAAAGTGCACAGAATTGTTCAGGAGGTGCAGTGTGGTCCATCATCTTGTTGGGGGAGGAAGTGATGCTGCAGTCCCAAATAAATCAAAGTTCCCTCTGTGCATTCCTGCTACTTGTAGGAAGGAGGTAGGAGAGTGCTGAGACCTTCTCTTCCCCTTATCCCTTTCCACACGCAGCATTTGCAAGGGCAGTAGATAACCTTGAGGAACAGCAGACTTGCTTTCTCCTTTTGATTTCGTTTTGTTTGTTTGTTCCTGCCCGCAGTTTTGCAGAGGATGTGATTCACATCTACTATGAGAGCGACGAGGTGGTGTGTGAGGATGTGGAGCTCCAGGCTTTTGTCAAAGACATTTACGTCTATGGGATGAGGGGTGTGAAAGCCTCAGGTAAGGTGTGATGGCCCTGCCAGGTCTGCAGCTTGTTGAGTCCCTGCTGACAGCAGTGCTGCGTGCACAGCACGCCTTGAGCTGTTAGAGACCCTCTCTCTTCTTGGCCCAAAGATGCTCAGTTTCATGGGTGAGACCCTGGATCAGGCCCTCCCTCAGGAGACAACGCCTTCCTTTGCCACAGATTCTCATTATGAGCTTGGGCAACTCATGTAATCTCTCTGCACTGGGGACAGGTCCTTTGATCTTGTCTGCTTATGCTTTAAGCATTGGGGAGGGATGCTGTCTGTAGGTGCTGTTGGAACCACCAGGCAGACTGACAGAAATCACAGGGAGCAGTGACACCCCCTTGCATCCTCTTTCAAACCTTGCACCAAATCAGAACATGTAAGAACTTCCCCAGGAGTATCTTGCTGCACTTTTTATTTGTTCAGCATCTATGTCACCACAGAGCTGTTCTACTCTCTTCAAGAGAAGATACTCATAACTATTTCCAAGAAATATTCTCCTTTACTCTGTCTCTTCTCACTGCCTCTCTTTTCCTGAAAACCATTACTTGGCCGCGGAAGCTCTCACCCATAACATGGCTCAGTTCTCCCATGTGACTTAACACTCCCCTGTCTTTCCCTAAACATGGGGTTTTTTACTTCCACTCACATTTTTTCCAAGCAGATTTTCAGGAGTTTATAGAGGTGGGTGAGAATTCTTCACATTGTCCTGGCTGATTTACATCTAGCAACACCTGTTGGCCAGTGACCTAGGGCAAATGGCTTTGGTGTTGCAGGCACACATTTGAGTGCAAGATGTCCAGGCAAACCTGTGGTATTTCCAATCGTTACCAGTATGTGCTGGTGTATAACAGCCTCCTGGACTCTCTCTTCCAGGTCAAGCAAACCATCGGGGTACACGTAGTTGCTATCCTTTTTGTTTGTCAAGTTGTCTCTTAGGAAAAGCTTAGAAGTGGCCTTCTAGTAGGAACTTCATGCTTGACCTAAGCATCATGATATGGGACAAGTACTGAGCCTTTCCAGGGCTACAGCTGGGGTGGGATGCTACAAGCACCACTGGGGGCAGGGCTGCCACTGCAAATGGGAAACCTGCCAGGTCTGCAGCATCTGTCTGCACTGCTGCCACTCCAGAGCAGGGGGACTTGGCTGGTCTGTAAAGAATAGGAGGAGGATAAATGGGGGAGGCTATGGCACTTGGGGCTCCTCCTCTAGTCTCTGTTTCTTCCCTGTGAGGGCTGCTGTGACTGGGAGAATGACAAACTCCTTTAAAGATGAGCACAGTGTGCTTAGGATAGCAGAACACAGGAGGGGATGGTGCATCCTCTCCACTTGGGGCTTGGTGGCTGGTCAGAGATACCATGTGCCTCTTCCCTCTCTCATTTTGAGTTCACATCTGCATCAGGTTGGTGGTGGAGGTGTGAAGCAGCTGAGTAGGGGCAGCTTGTTCCAGGGTGCTGACAGAGTTGTAGGTTTACTGGAACCTGTGGTCACACTGGAATGGGACAGGAAGTACAGCACAATGTTATTTAGGGAGGATAAGAGAGATACGGGCCTGGGGTTGCTTTGGTTGCAAAATATTTCCCTAGTCCCTGACTATTCTGTTTTTTCTTTATATAGCTCCATTTGATTATTCTCCTTCAAAGACAGCTTAATGCAACTATTTCTGTTCCTCATTCTGTTGTTTCTCTTTCAGAAGTTCTCATTTCCTCACTTCCCATTTCAGCGAATAAGCTCTCCCTGCTCTCTTTCTCACAGTACACTTGATTGCTGAGCCTCAGACCTTTATAAATACAAGCATATGGTCACTTCCTCCTTGACATGAGCCTTCCCTGCTTGCACTGCAGACTGAAGAAAAATGGAGCATCTGAGGCCCCTGCCCTGTGGACTGTCTGGGTGCCTTGCTGCAGGGTAGGTAGGACAGGGACACAGTGTTTTTTAAAGGTGTAATTACACTTTATCTTTCCCTTACGGAATACCACACACTTTGCAAATGGTGACACCTCACAAACCTGTATAAGGTAAGGCAGGATCACCGTGTTTTTACAACCACACAGCCAAGGCACAGAGAGGTTGAGTAGCTTCTGTTAGACCACACAGCAAGACTCATAGAATGCCCTGCTCCTCAGTGACTGCTTCATAGCCCTCTTATTCATTTCTTTTGATTACTGCTGGATAAAAGGCTTACTTCATAGGTGGGTTACTTAAGCTTTTCTTCTCCCTCATTTAGGGTTTCCTAAGATGATCAGGACACGAGAGACACTAGCAGAATATCTCACAGTGATAATATTCACCGCATCGGCTCAACATGCAGCTGTGAATTTTGGTCAGGTAGGAATTTGTGGGAAGACTGTTCTTCCTTCTGGACTGGGAGCTACATCTACCAGGGCAAGGTCTGAGAAGTATTTTTTAGTAGATGTACAGAATTATACTGTTGTTTCTGGTCAAAATAACTGCAGGACCATCTGCAAATCCCCATGAAGTCTATGGAAACTGCAGTAATTTGGAAGCTGAGAAAGGCCTTTCGAGTCCTACATATGTACCAAAGCTCAGATTTAGGGGTTCTAACTTGTATATTTTAGTTTTACTTATTTCATTATGGGGAACAATTCTTTTCAAGCATTTGGTAAGACCTCTTTCAGGAATGCTGAAGGGTTCATGTGTCCAGCCTAGCTACCATGTTTTTCACACATCACCTGAACTGCCTGGATTTGAGATGGGATGGTAGTGTGAGGCCCATTCTGCAATGAAGTGCAGTGAGTTATGCTAAGTGGCTTTACTCTGCCTTTGCTGTGAGTGCAGGCACAGGTGATTACTGTGGGTTGCTGTTGTAAGTTGTGCTAATTTCACAGAATCACAGAATATGCTGAGTTGGAAGGGAAGGGACCAACAAGGATCATCAAGTCCAACCCTTAGCCCTGCACAGGACCATCCCCAAGAGTCACACCATGTGCCCAAATGCTTCCTGAACTCTGTCAGGCTTGGTGCTGTGACCACTTCCCTGGGGAGCCTGTGGCAGTGCTCAGCCACCCTTTGGGTGAAGAGCCTTTTTCCAATATCCAACCTAAACCTCCCCTGACACAACTTCAGGCCATTCCCTTGGGTCCTGTCACTGGTCACCACAGAGAAGAAATCAGTGTCTACCCCTCCTTTTCCCCTCACAAGGAAGTTGTGGACTGCAGTGAGGTCTCCCCTCAGTCTCCTCTTCTCCAGGCTGAACAGACCAAGTGACCTCAGCTGCTCCTCATATGGCTTCCCCTCAAGGCCCTTCACCATCTCCATTGCCTTCCTTTGGACACTCCCTAATGGCTTAATATCTTTCTTATATTACAGTGCCCAAAACTGCCACAATATTCAAGGTGAGGCTGCCCCAGTGCAGAGCAGAGCAGGACAATCCCCTCCCTCAACTGGCTGACGATGCTTTGCCTGATGCCCCCAGGACAGGGTTGGCCCTCCTGGCTACCAGGGCACTGCTGACTCATATTCAAATTGCCACCAACCAGGATCCCCAGATCCCTTTCCATGGCACTGCTTTCCAACATCTCATTCCCCAGTCTGTACGAACATCCAGGGTTGCACCACCCCAGGTGCAGAATCCAGCACTTCTCTCTGTTGAACTTCACATGGTTGGTGATTGCCCAGTCCTGTAATTTGTTGAGTTCTCTCTGCAGGGCCTCCCTGCCTTTGAGGGAGTCAACAGCTTCTCCCAGTTTTGTATCACCTGCAAACTTGCTTGGTATCCCTTCCAGTCCTGTGTCCAAGTCATTTATGAAGATGCTTAAGAGCACAGGGCCTAAGGTGGAGCCCTATGGAACCTCACCAGTGACAGGTCACCAGTCTGATGTTACCCCATTCACTATTATCCTTCGTGCTCGACTGGTGAGCCAATTGCTCACCCACCACATGATATTTTATTCAACCATGGGCTGGACATTTTGTTCAGAAGGGTACTGTGACAGACAGTGTTGAAAGTTTTAAGCTGAAGTGCATCATCTCAGATGGCAGCAAAACTCAGGGTCATACCTGAAGCAAAAGGAGACATCACCAGCTCACAACAATGAAGCAGGCCAGAAGTGATTCTGAGTTCCCAGTCTGCCACTCACCATGGCCATATCTGCCTGCCACATTCCATATTACATGATGAACCAGCATCCTTTATCTCTCTTACTGCCTGACCACAGTACTGTGGGCATGTTCTTGGAGGAAATTTTGCAGAAAAGAGAAACTGGAGAAAAGGGGATTTTAATTTTTTTTTTCAGATGTCACCTCAGGTTATCAGAAAAGGTCTTTGTTTAATAAAATAGCTAAGGCCTTAGCCTGGCTGGTCAATCTGGGCTGTGTGGCACATGCCTGTGGTTAGCGGAATAACTGCTCCCATTTAGGTGACTCTCTTGTGAGTTCCTGAGCAAAAACAGAAGGGATTTCCTTGTCACCTCCAGTCCTTCTCTAGAGCATCTCCCTGTCCTTAATATCCTCTCTTTCTGAAAGGCTCATAATATAGAAGCAAACTCTCTGTTGTCAAACTCCTGATTTTCTTCACTGTGTTCCTAAATACCAGCCACTGTAGCTTTTCACTGTGCTCTCTTGCTCTGTTGTGCAGTATGACTGGTGTTCCTGGATTCCCAATGCCCCACCAACAATGCGCTGCCCTCCTCCAACAGAAAAGGGGACTGTCACCATCGAGCAAATTGTGGAGAGTCTGCCAGACAGGGGACGTTCTTGTTGGCATCTTGGAGCTGTTTGGGCCTTAAGCCAATTCCAGGACAAAGAAGTAAGTCAACCTCCATTATTTGGGTGGTGGAGATGTAGGTGAGACCATGAGAGCCATGGCAAGACTGCACAGACGCACAAGATTGTGTTGCTGCTCTGTGCTTGACTTCACTATGTTTACTTTTCTGTAGAGATGTGTCAGTGGTGTGGGTTTGTCCTTGTTCTGCCAGATGCAACCCAGCTCTGAGCAAGTCATACTTTTACTGAGACACTGTTTCAGGTCAAATGAAAGTTTCTAAGCTTGTGCATGGCATTGCTGAATAAGGATGCTGGTGGGGGAGGAAGAGGGCGGCAGAGTCATAAGGTTTTTTTCCATTCCTTGCCCCAGCGGTGCTGGGGAAGAAGGTACAGCAGTTCTCTGTCCCCATGTCCTGTCCCTTTGAAAACTCTGCTCCAGTGCCATGTGCACTACAGTGGTGGCTTGTGCCTGGCTGGTGAGGAGCAAAAACAAAACAAGCCTATGGAAGGCTTTGCAAGCATGGTGTGTAGCCATTTCCTTCATGTAAAATGAGGTGGTCGGTACTTGGTTGTTTCACCCAAGGGCTCTGTCTGCGAGATATGTTTTGAAATCCTTAAATGGATGATGATAGACAGAGGGCACTTTAAATTAAGTTTCTCTCTAAAAAGAAAGCAGTACTAGCAGAGAAGATGGTACTATGAGTAGTATCAAGGGAAATAGTCACGTAAAGCAATGCCAGTGTGCATATTGGCAGTGCAGTATTCAGAGCACCCTTAGAGTCCAAGCTGACTAAAGCAACTGTCACTGAAACTCTGAAGGACAGTTTTAAGTCAACAGAAACTTCCACTGTCACTGAACGAAGTAGTTATCTTCCTTTTTCATCTCTGGCTGTTAATTCCACTCTCATGCTGTCCTTTTCTCTAGCAGCATAAATGTTTGCGTGGCTATGCAGAGATCTGGCTTAGGAAGCTCATCTGACTGACCACTGGCCTGAAAAGTGCCTGTTTTTCAGCAGATGAGCTCTCCAGCGGTGGAGGAGGTGCCACAGACACCTGAACTAGCACTACAAAAAGATGCAGGGATGGAAAGAAACAGCCAGCAATGGAGGGGAGGTAGCAGAGCATTTTTCATTGGCAGTGTTGATGTAGACTAGCTTAAATATTGCTAGTACTATTTTAATAGTAGCATTTGTGAGGTGAGACTCTGGGTGCTGTTCTGCTGGATGACATAATGTTGAAACAGAATTGCCTTTGCTTACTTAAAGCATGATTTCTTGGTGTTTTTCAATTAGCTATTTCTGGGCATGTACCCAGATGAACACTTCGTGGAGAAGCCAGTGAAAGAGGCTATGGCAAAATTCCGCAAGAATTTGGATGAGATTGTCAGCACCATCACCGAACGCAACAAGAACAAAAAGCTTCCTTACTACTACCTTTCCCCAGATCGCATTCCCAACAGTGTTGCTGTTTGAAGAGATAGCCAGGGGAGTTTGGAGACATGTAAAGCTAATGATGCTTTTCTGTTACATATACTTCTTCAATTAACTTTCAGAAATGGATAAGAAACCCACCCCCTCCATCAGAGCTGGCCTAAGTCTATCTGAACTTTCAGAATGCATCTGGTTATGACCAACCTTGCAGACAAAGTCTAGTCGACAACCCTCTAGGTCAAATTTGTTAGAAGTTTATTTTTCCAGGATTTTAAAATTAATCTTAGAATCAATATACATGTTTCTGTTATCTTGCCCTCTCCTTGACAAAACAATGCAATCATAGATTGACTTACTCAATGGAAAAAGTATCATGAGCAGTAAGCAAGTCACATCTTTAAAATCCTTCTGTTTTAAATAGGTGACACTGGTGACATAGAAGAATGTAATCTTTAATGTATATGCATTGGTTTTAATCTGATTAAAACAAATGTTAAATATTTTCACAACAATTGTGAACATCCTACTAAGGATAAAGGTAAAAGAAGGACATTTTCCTAACGTAGCTGATGGGATTTTATCACTTTCTTACCAAGTTCATGTGAAATGGCATCTCATAAGAGATGAAAATTTTGTACCTACATAAACTTAAGTATTTTCTGCATAAAACTAGGAAGGTTTGTTTTAGCCTGTCCAGCAGAGTTTGATGTCCATCACACGTACGGACAAACGTTTTACTCAGCACAACAGCAGCAAGTACAGACCTAGCAGTGCTTATGCTCAATTTCTGTTTCGTTGCTTGAGGCTGCTGAGTTTTGTGGACAGTTTGTTCTGTTTTGTGGGGAATGAGGAGGCTACTTCATATAGTGGAAGAATTTCTGGAGAAGGCTTAAATGACAGCTTCTAAGAGGAATCTTAGATTTGGCCAGTTAAGCAAAACTAACATGTTCCATCTTAGAGACAACTGAGTTTTGTCTGTTTTGTTTAGAGGTAAATAGGTTCAAATACTTGGACTTTGGCTAAAGTTGAGAGAGTCACTGAGATAATGAAAGCAAAATTGAGGTTTGAGAAATTTAAGAGTTGTACTTTTGGTGATAACAATTTGGGTGTATTTTTCTGAGAATTTGTTCCTTGTACTAGGTGCACCAGCCTGCAATGTATTTTCTCAATAAATAAGAAAGCTTCTTCTAATAAAACAAAACTGAACATCTAGCTTTTATTTCCTAATTCAGTATCTAATGCTGTATGTCTCAAAAACCTTGTAGGAATAAACACAACATGCTGTGTAGAGAAATGCAGCTTCTGCTCTTTGAGAAATATAGTTATTTCTATCATTCGTGTGTGATTTGGAAAAGGGTACTACTAAAATATACAAACTTTCATATGAAACAGGTGTGGAAACTGATTTTAGACTCTTTACAGCAGACTGATTCCCTTTTTCTGCCCCCAGCTAAAGACTCTGAGAAAGATGTGGAAGGTAAGACCATTTCCAGTTACTGAGGAAGTACATTTATGATTTGTTCATCTTCTTCTTACTGCAGCCCATGGGAAGGGATGAGTGCAGGAGTGGAGTCATGCAATTGTGCAACGACACTGGAATAAGACCAAGGAATCAGAGACAACAACCTGTGAGCCCGACCCTCCAGGAAAAAAAGCTGGGGGTGGGGAAGAAAAGTGCAACTTGAATGCAAGGACTTGAAAGCAAAATTGCAACAAGCTGATGCAATATATCCAACATACCAGCTCTAACTCTTGTCCTTCCCCTGTGTACAGAGAATGTCCTCTTGCTTTCATCTGATAATGATTTGCATAGTCAAGTACCTGTCTAGAAAACAAAATATGAGAAGACTTTGATGGATGTTCTCTTAGATCTGTGCCCTCTGCTGTATCCTGTGGACCTAGGACAGCTGGTGAGAGATTTGGGTAATTTACTGTGCAGCTTTGAAGACTGGTGGTAGCAATCTGATTCAGCAGCAGGAGAGGCTGTGGAAAGAGGTAGAGAGGTTAAAAGTAATACTGGCACCAGAAAGGAAGCAGATACTTGCAAGTAATAAAGTGTTTACTGTTTCAGGGGGTCAGGGTACACATGTTGCTGTCCCAGTCCTGCCTCCTTTTCAGTTCTCATTCCACCAGGAAGTCATCTTCCTGTGCATGGGCCATGGGTTCCTCCCCTACATCTTTAGCCATGACTTGCACAGCGATATCTCCTAAGCCATGGTGCTATGGTGGAGTGTCTACTTGCAGGATGGCTCCTAGGTGGGAATGAAAGTATCAGCTCTCTCTGAAGTGTGTCATGCGCTCAGCTTTGCAATAGATACTGCAGCTTGGTGTGCATCAGCCCAATAATAGCATGTGTCCTGGCTGGGCGGCTGTTGCTAATGGCCAGTCAAAGGGAATTTAGCCTGACTCTTCAACTTGAGCTTCCTTGCTGTCTTTTCCAATTGCACTGATTCTCAACTGGCTGGGAGATTGAACTAGGAGATATCTGATTCAGGAAATTCTGGCAGTAACTCAGGAGGCTCTGTCATCTCAGCTCTTCCTCTTGGCATTTGGTCACTGGGGAGGACACTCAGCTATAAAATACCAGTGCTAGTGAGAAATGAACTGGTAAGCATTGTCCTAAAGGACTGCCACAAGTAGAGGAGAAAGCCTAATGTTTTCTCCCAAAACAGATTCCAAAAAATCTCTCCTTAAGAGAAAAGGAGGCCATGAGATGGAGAGAGAGACCATCAACGAGGGGACAGGGCAGGCATTTCCCTGCTGAAGTCTCTGACTCTTTGGGTTCATCAATGACAGTGAGGATTTAGGCCTCCACAGCCAGCCCAGTTCTCATCAGTGGCCTCCTATGCTTTCCTCTTTTTGCAGGGTGACTTTGCCTCTATAGACTTCTTTTGGCATATTCCCTTTCCCAACCCCCAAACATCCCTTACAATAATATGATTCTCACTGCCCCTGGGAAAAAAGTGCACATACTTCTTGTTCATCCCATAGGAAGTAAGCTACCCTTTTCTTTTCCGGTCATTCCCCATTTTACAGGTGGGGAAATGGAACAAGAGCAATGAAGTCCACCAGATCAGCTCTGAATTGAGGTGCTTCCTTTAGAAAGAACACGAGAAAGTTGTTTACTGAAAGCATGCTAATTTTGGCTGCCTAGAGAGCAGACAAAGTTTTCAGGCTTGGCCTTTCAGAGTTACTTACTCTGCTGCATGTTGAGCAGAACATAAAATAAATCCCAGAAGATGAGTTTCTTACTAGCAAGTTTCAATCAGCAACTGGCTTTTCCTGCCACAGTAGTAGGGACATAGTATCTAGGAAGAAATTGATAGAAATGAGATAGTCGCACAAGTGCATAGTTTGCTTTATTTATACTATAAACAGGCATAAGTATTGCATAATCAGACGTGGCTGGTACATTTAGAGGTTAACTGAGTCATGGGTTTTTATCGCCAGAAGACATGGCTATGATTGCTTAGACTGATTTGAGCATACCACAGGCCTTAGGACTTCCCTCTTCAAACTCAATACAGGGGTGCTTGATACAGGAATCTTCTGTGAACATGTCCACTCATGGTTTACCAAAACACACGATTCACCCTGGTGTTTGAGTCACTTGTCTCACTGGTGAATCCCTCATGCTGTGAAAGATATGCGCTGCTTCTAGTTCTGCATGCATTCAGCCTTTGCATCTCGCAATAGACAGCTTCCTGCAGTAGCTTTGTATGATTGAAGATCCTTCTCTGACCAGTTCCCTACTACATTCTTCCCCTTCTCTAAACTGAATAGAATATTTTCCTGCATTCTTTTGCTGTAAGACTTTCTTTAAAATGCTTATCTATTACCACTATGTGGGCAGTTGATGTCGATGTTTCAGTGGCTATTTCAGTCAATATTTCATAGGCTGTATTTCCTCCTTCTTGCAACTGTGTATATGCAGTTTGTCCCTAGATTTATGTCACAAACCCACAGCAAATTATCTGTGTTACTGCACAAATTTCCTGTTTGTATGCAAGTGGCTGGCAATACCTTCAGCGAGTGAGAGAAATACTAAGTGAGCTGTTGGTACTCCAGTAGGCCTCTATCAGGCTTCAAATTCAGCTTCTCTGGGGAGCACACTGTATATCTAGCAGCCTCTTAACTTTAGATTGGCAGTGTTTAAAATCCAGTATTTAGTGATTAGGCTCAATTTGTAATTATGTAGCTGAGTTATCATAGAATAGTTTGGGTTGGAAGGGACCTTAGAGATCATCTGGTTCTAACCCCCATGCCATGGGGGGTTCTAGCATCCAATGCTAGAAATATTTAACCTGTATTTAACTTTATCAGGGTTTGCTCTAAAGTTTTGTCTAAAGGCTTTTGTCTGCCTGCATATACCAATATACAGCAGAGGTTTCTGGGTAGCCTGGCCAGACAGTTCAGCAGAAATGCACAGGTACAGCAGGGGAATGCTCTACACTCAGTGCAATTACCACAGTCTGCATCAGCAGTGGGAACTAGACCGACAACATCCTTTTATACAGCACACTGAAGAACCATTTCTTTCCTAACTTGGTGCTTGTCCACAGAGCTCTTCATTCACTCTTCAGTACCTTGTCTGAGCACCTTCTTCACATGCATGAAGTGATTAATGTTATGTGCAAACTAACAGCTGCCGCACATAGATCCTCCTTTTCGACTTGCTGCCTCTTCAGGATCCATTTCAGGAGAAATCCCCACGGGCAAGTGGTACGTTGGTCTTCCAGAAGACCTGGCAGCAGTCTCTGAGTCCTTTTGTCTCTGCTGGAAGCACATCAAGATAAGAGCCACCGTCTCCAGGGGACCTGAAGCATAGGGATGACTCTCATCTCTTTTAAAAGGCTGTAGATACTTTATCTGTAATACAGTGTTCTTTGATTGCAGCTTGTAGCTCTTAGACAAATGTTTTGTTTCATTTCACCAATAAGCTGAGCCATACCATTTTGTCTCAAAGATACTGCAGTCATGACAGCAAAGGGAGCTCCATTCCTGCCCTTGGAGCTTGGGCCGTATGAAATACACACTCTAGCCTTTGTTTTCTTTTCTGTTTCTAGGGTTAGATCTGGACAAGTTACATGACATAATGAGCCAGTTCTCTCTCATCTGTGAGGAAGATATTATAGAGGTCAAAGCTTGGTAACTTTTCAGATCTACTAACTCTATAAATACCTTTTTTGCATATTCTAGAGCGTGATGTCTATGGCACTGGCTGCTGCCATTCACATATCTACTAATGTTTAGTAACTATCAATGTTAAACAGTAATCAATAATCAGCATTAATCACTATCCTAACAATTGTAGGACAATCTATCTGAAGGGCATATTTGTTGAAAACCAGACCTGCATGCTGGCAAAGCCAGCCTGATAGGCTGATAATCAGGTCTTACAAAGTGTTTGGGTAAAACTTTGGATAGTCTGGCTTTGTCTGGCACCTGCCTGGTCACTGTTGAGCTTCAGATGGTACGAAAGCTATGTTTGGTCAGACCTAAAACAAGCAGATCTGGTTTCTATGACCTTGTGGAAACAACAGGTCAGAAGCAGTGTCTTGTATTTGTGGGAAGTATGTAAGTGTTGCCTTATTTTCACTTGGCCACTGTATTTGGCCCAGTGTAAAAGTACCTATGTAACAGACTTGATAGCAGATTACATAAAATCAGGTAGGTTTTTGGCATGAAGAAAAATTGGTTTTTACATTTTAACCTAAAAGCAATGGATTTACACCATTGGAATCCTACTTAAGCCTGGGTTGTTTCAGTTTCAAGCTGTTTCAGCAGCAGCATTTCACAAACCTTTTCTGTTTGAGGAATGAAAGGCCATCTAGAAGCCTTCTCCTTCCCAGGATCTGCACTGCTGAAACATTATTTTTTCTGGCATCATTAGATCTTAAAGGCTAATGAGTGCTACATGATTTAAAAGTTGGGGTACTTGTACTTCTGTCTGCTTAGATGGAAGCAAGAAGAAATAATAAATAAGATTGGCCAAAATTTAGTTATGTTTCTTCTCCCTTTTGTTTTATAGGGCTAACTTGACAGCAAGGATACAAACTAGTTTTCTGAAAGCATGCATGGGAAATGTTTCTGGAAAGAAAACTTTCATAACAGTACTTGTATCTCAAAAGGAAATCAAGAGATGTAATAATAGGAGGATGCAGGAGGATTTGCAAAATGCGTGTACTGGAAGCAAGAGAGTAGGGCTGCAT